TCAGGGAATCTGTGTGATACACATTCTGTTCACGAGCCACAGATCAATAATATTAAAATCAATTAAAAAAAATCCCGTATTTCTGAAACAAAGTCAAAACCTTAGTGAATGGCCATCCTTTAAAAGGGAAATCACAAGGGAATTATAACGTTCCAGTTTCCCATAATTGGTCCCCTGTGCTTCACCTTTTAAAGGCTTTTTCTTATGTATCTTCTTTTTTTTTTCTGAAAATTCATTCTTTATTTTGGTATAAAAAAATAAATCCTAAAGCATATAAAGAATGTTACTTGTTTTCATATTGTTGTAAAGCAAACTTACAAGATAGGAACATCTGCTATCAGTTCAAAAGATGCCACACTTTATTTACTTTTTTTTATTTTTATTTTTTTTCCATTTATTTTTATGAGTTGGAGGCTAATTACTTTACATCATGGCAGTGGTTTTTGTCATACATTGAAATGAATTAGCCATGGATTTACATGTATTCCCCATCCCGGTCCCCCCTCCCACCTCCCTCTCCACCCGATCCCTCTGGGTCTTCCCAGTGCACCAGGCCCGAGCACTTGTCTCATGCACCCAACCTGGGCTGGTGATCTGTTTCACCCTAGATAATATACATGTTTCGATGCTGTTCTCTCGAAACATCCCACCCTCGCCTTCTCCCACAGAGTCCAAAAGTCTGTTCTGTACATCTGTGTCTCTTTTTCTGTTTTGCATATAGGGTTATCATTACCATCTTTCTAAATTCCATATATATGTGTTAGTATACTGTAATGGTCTTTATCTTTCTGGCTTACTTCACTCTGTATAATGGGCTCCAGTTTCATCGATCTCATTAGAACTGATTCAAATGAATTCTTTTTAATGGCTGAGTAATATTCCATGGTGTATATGTACCACAGCTTCCTCATCCATTCGTCTGCTGATGGGCATCTAGGTTGCTTCCATGTCCTGGCTATTATAAACAGTGCTGTGATGAACATTGGGGTGCACGTGTCTCTTTCAGATCTGGTTTTCTTGGTGTGTATGCCCAGAAGTGGGATTGCTGGGTCATATGGCAGTTCTATTTCCAGCTTTTTAAGAAATCTCCACACTGTTTTCCATAGCGGCTGTACTAATTTGCATTCCCACCAACAGTGTAAGAGGGTTCCCTTTTCTCCACAACCTCTCCAGCATTTATTGCTTGTAGACTTTTGGATAGCAGCCATCCTGACTGGCGTGTAATGGTACCTCATTGTGGTTTTGATTTGCATTTCTCTGATAATGAGTGATGTTGAGCATCTTTTCATGTGTTTTTGTGCCACCTGTATGTCTTCCTTGGAGAAATGTCTGTTTAGTTCTTTGGCCCATTTTTTGATTGGGTCATTTATTTTTCTGGAGTTGAGCTGGAGGAGTTGCTTGTATATTTTTGAGATTAATCCTTTGTCTGTTGCTTCATTTGCTATTATTTTCTCCCAATCTGAGGGCTGTCTTTTCACCTTGCTTATAGTTTCCTTTGTTGTGCAAAAGCTTTTAAGTTTCATTAGGTCCCATTTGTTTATTTTTGCTTTTGTTTCTAAAATTCTGGGATGTGGGTCATAGAGGATCCTGCTGTGATTTATGTCGGAGAGTGTTTTGCCTATGTTCTCCTCTAGGAGTTTTATAGTTTCTGGTCTTACATTTAGATCTTTAATCCATTTTGAGTTTATTTTTGTGTATGGTGTTAGAAAGTGTTCTAGTTTCATTCTTTTACAGGTGGTTGACCAGTTTTCCCAGCACCACTTGTTAAAGAGGTTGTCTTTTTTCCATTGTATATCCTTGCCTCCTTTGTCAAAGATAAGGTGACCATAGGTTCGTGGATTTATCTCTGGGCTTTCTATTCTGTTCCATTGATCTATATTTCTGTCTTTGTGCCAGTACCATACTGTCTTGATGACTGTGGCTTTGTAGTATAGTCTGAAGTCAGGCAGGTTGATTCCTCCAGTTCCATTCTTCTTTCTCAAGGTTACTTTGGCTATTCGAGGTTTTTTGTATTTCCATACAAATTGTGAAATTATTTTTTCTAGTTCTGTGAAAAATACCGTTGGTAGTTTGATAGGGATTGCATTGAATCTATAGATTGCTTTGGGTAGTATAGCCATTTTGACAATATTGATTCTTCCAATCCATGAACACGGTATATTTCTCCATCTGTTTGTGTCCTCTTTGATTTCTTTCATCAGTTTTATAGTTTTCTATGTATAGGTCTTTTGTTTCTTTAGGTAGATATATTCCTAAGTATTTTATTCTTTTTGTTGCAATGGTGAATGGAATTGTTTCCTTAATTTCTCTTTCTGTTTTCTCATTGTTAGTGTATAGGAATGCAAGAGATTTCTGTGTGTTAATTTTATATCCTGCAACTTTACTGTATTCGTTGATTAGCTCTAGTAATTTTCTGGTAGAGTCTTTACGGTTTTCTATGTAGAGGATCATGTCATCTGCAAACAGAGAGAGTTTCACTTCTTCTTTTCCTATCTGGATTTCTTTTACTTCTTTTTCTGCCCTGATTGCTGTGGCCAACACTTCCAAAACTATGTTGAATAGTAGTGGTGAGAGTGGGCACCCTTGTCTTGTTCCTGATTTCAGGGGAAATGCTTTCAATTTTTCACCATTGAGGGTGATGCTTGCTGTGGGTTTGTCATATATAGCTTTTATTATATTGAGGTATGTTCCTTCTATTCCTGCTTTCTGGAGAGTTTTAATCATAAATGGATGTGAATTTTGTCAAAGGCTTTTTCTGCATCTATTGAGATAATCATATGGTTTTTATCTTTCAATTTGTTAATGTGGTGTATTACATTGATTGATTTGCAGATATTAAAGAATCCTTGCATTCCTGGGATAAAGCCCACTTGGTCATGGTGTATGATTTTTTTAATATGTTGTTGGATTCTGTTTGCTAGAATTTTGTTAAGGATTTTTGCATCTATGTTCATCAGTGATATTGGCCTGTAGTTTTCTTTTTTTGTGGCATCTTTGTCTGGTTTTGGAGATGCCACACTTTAGAAAAAAAGTCACTGCTACTTGGATTCAACAAACATCAGGGTAGAGGAACAATTATCTCTGTCTCCTGATTTTTCCATAATTTTACTAAATCATCACTAGGAAAGCTAGTAGTGGGGATGTTACAAAATTATGCCAGAATTTGGTAATGACGGTGAAACTGGCCATTCAAGTCCAGCTAGGTCATGACCTTGTACAAATGCTCTACTTGATACACTACAGGCCGGGCTGGTGATAGATTTGAGTTATAACGTATAGATTCCTTTCAGTTACAGTTGCAAAGGAAGTCTTTAAATTCTTGAAGTAAGCTAGGAAGCAGGCTGCTGATCTGGATTTGCTCAGATGGAAGACACTTACAGCAGGAGTCCAGTTGACAGGCTGTTGAAATCACCAGGCCTGTGCTTGTCAGGTAGTTTCAGGCAGCTGATCGGAATACCATCTCCAGATCTTTGAGTGATACATTTGAAGTCCTCATGGTAAAGTTGTGGCCATGGCTGCATTAGCTCTGGCTATTGTCTTTTTTTTTTCTTTGATTTTTAATATCATTCTTTACCAGCTGGAGCAGCCACTGCTTGGTAAAACTTTGCCACAAAGTCTGGCTCACTGGCCTCCAGCTGCCTGACAAATTCATTGCGTTCCTGCTCAGCCCAACCTCAAAACCACTGATCCCAAAGACGTAGCTGGCACTCAAAGATACAAGGTGGTCGGTTTGCCCCAGACACACCAAGTTGCTCCAGACCTTCCAGCAGTGGCTGCAATTTTCCCGGTAGTGCCTTAGCTACCAGGTCCCGAAGGAAACGTTCACGCTGAGGACCTGACCAGCTGGCAAACCAGTTAAGAATATACTTCATCTCCTGGGAAGTGATGTAAGACATTGGGGGAGGAGAAGAGCTAGAAATATTTACTGGTACTGGGGTTAAGGGAGAAGGGAAGGATAGCGGCATTGAAATGGAAGATGATTCCAGTGGCATCCTCCCCTTTTCTCTCACAGGGCACTCGGAGACCGTCACAACAGGGTTTAGACTCCAACTATCGCCGCCGCTTCCATGTTTCCTGAAAACCCTAAGTTGGGTCAACCCGGCAGCCCACCTCTTATGTATCTTCTTATGTATCTAACTCCCTCTGTCCCTTACACAGTCTTCTCTTTATGCTCTCATTTAATAATCAAATGTTAAAATGTTATCCCAGCTTTTTTTGTTTCTTTTGCACCACTGTGTCCTGGCATTCCACTTTCTCTCTATTTTCCAGGTCTCGGTATCTCTTTGTATAAATTTCTATCTTCAGTGATCTACTTCTGGACCTTGCCTTTTCCTCCAGTTTGAAAGTTGTTATGTTGTTTGGTATGTTCAACTCATTCACGCTTATTGCAGATGCTATTATATTCGGGCTGGAAACTGCCATTTTGTCCTGTGTTTTTCTATTTATCATACTTTTTGTTTTTCTTTTATGTTTCATTGGGCAGATCGCATTTTTTTTTTTTAAGTCTCCAGTGTTTAGATCACGCTGAGGCATCTAATTCCTGATATGTCTATTTTAACGTGGAGAACTTAATTACGAGTTCAAGGGCCTTAAAACCACAACCAGTCTGGATTGAAGAAGCACGGCTGAAGCAGCAGAAAGTGAAGATGTTGAAGCCGCCGGTCCTGGCTCTGTGCCTCCTCCAACAGGAGGGCAGGCGCGTGGCCCCCACAAGGGGGCGCCGCAGAGCCCGGAGGCGGTAGAGGCGGCCATGGCGTCTCCAGGAGTTCCCCGCGGCGGCTCCCTAGGCCTTCTGGTCTGGCTCTTGTTCCTTCGGCCACAGCTCTGTGAGACAGGGCCGGCAAGGACTGGAGGTGGCTAGGCTGCACTGCATGCGTGGCAGCTGCGGCTGACTGCTGGACTAGGGCTGGGGGCTGGGGGGCGGAAGCGGGAGCTGGGGATGGTGCCCTGGGCAGAGGCCGGTGCTGACGGGCCGCACTCCAGGTCGCTCCTCTTTTCAGGTGAGGGTGCCAGACCCAAAGAGGATTCTGCAGTGAGCCGCGCAGTCGCAGAGGCCCCCTCAGCTCCGGAACACCTGAAATCTGAGGAGGTTCCAACAGCTCCAGGGCTGCCTACACCCCCAGCGGCCGTTCTGCAGACCCCTCCTCCCTTTGGAGAGCGGTTTGTACGAGGTACTGCTGCTTTCTGCACCGGGCTCTACAGGCCCGCCTGGGAACTAGAGGCAGCACATTCCTGGCTGCGTGACTATCCTGGTGGGTTTGAGAGGAAACCTGTCTCCACCTAAGCGTTGAGGGGGGTGGGGCACAGATGCAGATAGTGGTGGTGGAGGTGGAAGGTGGTGGAGGTATTAGAAGGGAGGCAGCAGCTTCGCCTCCAGCCCCTCTTTTTACTGAGCCAAGGAGCATGTGGCCATCGGAAAATGAGGATAATCGGTGGGATGCCAGCCCCAGAGAGAAAGTGGCCCTGGCAGGTGAGCCTGCGGATCAACAATGAACACGTGTGTGGAGGCTCCCTCATTGCCCCACGGTGGATCCTGACTGCAGCGCACTGCATATTTGGGTGAGTGTTTTCGGTCCTGGGCTTGGCCTGCTGCTCAGGCTGTGTGAACGGGAGCCATTCCTGCCCCTTTCCTCTTCTTCATCTGAAAAAGAGGCCACAGCCCCTAGTTTGTGTTCACTGTGAGTGCTACATGAGTTTTGCATTTCTACCAAGATCCCAGGTTCTGCTCCAGTGGCTGTGGGACCTCAGTTGGAGACCACTGACTCCAGTGGTTAGGGGTCTGCAAGGGGATGTGGTTTAGAGGGAGAAAAAGGCTGTCATGTGTGCTAAGTCACTTCAGTCGTATCTGACTCTGTGTGGCCCTATGGACTGTAGCCTAACAGACTCATCTGTCCGTAGATTCTCCAGGCAAGCATACCGGAGTGGGTATCCACGCTGTCCTCCAGGGGATCTTCCAGACCTGGGGATCAAATCCGAGTCTTTTATATCTCTTGCATTGGCAGGCAGATTCTTTACCGCTGAGCAACCTGGAAAGCCCTGATGGCTGTTGTAGGAGATGGGATCAGGATGAGAAGAACCTGGAAGGGGTGGGGGGGAGGAGTGTAGCCCCTCCAACATCTCTGTCAGGGGCATGTTCTCTTTCCACAGCTTTGAGGAATATACAGTGCGGATGGGAAGCGTGTTGTTACATCCCCAATCGGGAATGGCCATTCCAGTTCAAGACATCGTTTGCCATAGCTTTTATGATGTTAGAACTTTGAGTAATGACATTGCCCTTGTTCTGCTGGCCCACTCTGTGAATTATTCTGCATTCATCCAGCCAGTGTGTCTCCCTGAAAAGAATTTTGAAGCGGAAGCTGGGACACGGTGCTGGGTGACTGGATGGGGCCGACAGATGGCAGACGGTGAGACTGGCAGGGCAGGATCTGAGGGGGAAGTCTGGTGCCCTGGGGTTGGCCTGCAGGCTGAGGGGAAGGACAGGGAGGCTGGTTCTCTACAGGTGGGCAAGGGAGGAGGTGGAGAGGAGGCTGCCTGGGAGTGACTGAAGTGTACAGGAGGGATTCCTCCTGTTATGTTAGACCTGGGGGTGTGGGTCCCGGTATGGTGGGTTCTCTCCAGGGCAGACTTCAGCTCCAGTATGATGAGGTATCTGTCAGTCAGAGCTGTCCTGCCCTGGAATTACCTGCCAGGTGGGGAAGGAGCTTCTTGTGCTTGGGATGCAGGTCTAGCCAGAGCAGCCCTGTTGGTGAGTCTGTAAGGCCTCCTATGTGGGAGGAGGCTGGGTTGGTACCCGTGGGCACTGCCTGTCCCGGAGTCTGTTACCCTGCCCTGTACAGACATCTGTCACTGCTCCTGCTGATGCTCAGAGTGACACTGGCTTTTGTATCAGGCCTTGGAAGAAGCCTTGTCTCTGTGTCCTGATATGTTCCTCCTTCTGACTTGGCTTTGCTTGTTACCTTGTCTGCTCCCCATGTCAGCAGTTGGCCTCAGGTCCTTTTGTATCAAATGGGACAAAACCCACTGTCCTTCCTTCTGTTAGAAGAAAGGAGTGTGAATGCATTGATTAAGACCCAGAATGTGGGACTTCCTTGCAGTCCAGTGGTTAAGACCCCACGCTTCCACTCCAGGGGGTACAGGTTTGATCCATGGTTAGGGAGTTAAGATCCTGCATGTTGCACAGTGCAGCCAAAAAATTCAAACAAACAAAAAAGACCCAGAATGGGACCTGGGGGTCCTGTTCTATTCTACTCAAGCAAACGTTTTATTTCTGAGTTGTCTTTCTGTAGCCATAGTGCTGCCAGAAAATCTTCAGGAGACTGACCAAATCCTTCTTCGCCACACGTTATGTAATGCGAAATTGCAGACAGAGTTAGGATATCGTCGCATGTTAGTTCGAAAAGGGATGATCTGTGGCTATCACGAAGATCTTAAAAGCCCCTGCAAGGTGAGTTGATGGGTCCCTTGTCATCTCTGTATTGAGGCTGTGCAGTTTACTCATTCCTCAGTAGCAGGGCCTGGGTTATTTCCTACCTCCTCTTTCAGCTTTTACTTAAGGAGATTCAGGGGAGAACCCCTCAAGACACCTCTAGCAAGCCTGGCCTGTTCCTCCAATAGGGAGCAGCCCTCCCATCCTGGGGGTGCTGCCAGGGTGTGGTGAAGTTGGGGGTGATGATAATCATGTAGTTCCTGTAACTGAGTTCTTTCTATTTGCACTTCCTGTGCCAGTGTGAGCATTCACCCACGTTAGCTCAGTTTCCCAGCTCACAACCCTGCCACCTAGACTTATACATCTTACTATACAGATGTGGGCCCTCCAGAGACATAAGTTCCAGGTCCCCCTGGGAGTGCCTGTAGGAACCCTGGGCCCACAGTCTCCCCTCTGCCCTGAGCAGCCTTCCTGAGCAGGGGACAGGGGACAGGTCTCAGAGGATGAGGGTCTGGATTCTGGCAAGAGGAGAACATCACTGGTGGGAGAGGGAGCAGTGAGTCCGAGGCTCAAGGTCTGAAGCACTGGTCATGTTTAGGGAATGGGTTTCAGGTCTGGAGCAATGAGGAGGCCAGTGTGGCCAGAGTAGGGGCTGGAGTCAGAATGTGTGGCCTGCGGTGCTGTGCTGTGTTTCTTGGTCCTGTCCAGGCAGGCCTGTGGGCCAGGAGTTTGTTTTTCATCGTGTGGGCAATGGTGCTGAGCCCCAGGCGGGACCTGGGCTGGTGGGGGTGGGTAAAGGGGTTGTATTTGAGATTGTGTCACCACTCTGTGGTGACCAACTACATGTGAGGATGGGGGTGAGGGAGCGCTTGAGGAGGACTCTGGGTTTATGATGAGCTGGTTGGTGAGGGGTCTATCAGAACAGAGTGGAGGAAGGGTGTGCAGTGTGTGTGTCAGCTGGGGGTTTAGCAAGCCTGGATGTGTTTGGAGAGAGGGGCCGCTGGTAGAGGATGTAGTTGGATGTGTGGATTTAGGGCGGGGAGAGAGTTTGGGTGACTCCAGAGGTGAGGACTCTGGAGCCCCCTTGCTGGAATGATAGTGAGAGAATTTCACAGCTGGGAAGGCCCAGGACTGACCAGTGGAATAGATTCTGGCCTTAGAGCCCGAGAAGGGCTCTGGAAGCTACTCACAGTGCTAGGGGATGCCCCTTTAGTTGCTGGGTAATGAGAGGTTTGGAGAGGGGCAGGGGCAGGGGAGGGTTACAGGCACTGAAGGAGAATTTGAGTATATTTCGGCAGGACTGATGTCCAGGGCTTACTGGCCTTATAGCACCTGTGGGTTTCTGAGCACCTGAGAAGCAGTAGTATTTCTCAGATGATGTTAAAGTATTCAGCTCTCAAATGTCATTCAAGGAAACCTGGGCCTGCTAGGTACCTGGGGAAGGACCTTGGTGACACTAGCAAGGTCCCTAGTGCCTTGCTAGAAATCAGCCTTTTTTGATGATGATCCCCTTCCATTCTTGTTTTTTTTTTTTCCTCCAGGGAGATTCTGGGGGTCCCCTGGTCTGTGAGTTTAATGACACCTGGGTCCAGGTGGGGATTGTGAGTTGGGGCGTTGCCTGTGGTCGCAGTGAATTGCCTATAGTTTATACCGAAGTTAGCTTGTACAAGGACTGGATCGTGGATCACATCATTAAGGTGTCCTCTTGTGCCTCAGCTGGGTTCTTTATCCTGTCGCTGTCTCTGGTGTTGCCCCTGGGCATCCTAGTGACCCTGTGACCACCCTGGTCCACGTTCCCCCCATTTCTGAGTCTCTGACCTCGCACTCCTACTCAGTGCCATTTCCTCAATTCCATTTGGGACCCACTGACCCTGGGGAGCTCCACATGACAGACAGTGGCAGCAAGGAAGGAGCCCTGGAAGTTTCCCAGCCTGCTGTTCCAGGCACCAGCATTACCCACGCCTACCCCTTAGCTGTGCTCTGCCTGCCGGGAAGGAGTGGGTGAAACCATTCCAGCTGGATGGACAGCAACTTGCCAGGTGATGCTTCATGATTCTTTATCTACATCTGGGCACCCTCTAACAAAGAAGAGACATCATCAACGGTGCGACAGCATTAGACCTGACACTTTATCAAACCAGTCCACGTGGTGATTGTTAGGAGAGACTGAGGAGGCCTCATCGTTTCCACTTCTAACTCAGTTGTCTGGGTTGGCAGAAGGTCCCCTGCTGCCCACTCTGCATCCCAGTCCCCGTCCTCTGCCACACAAATCCTCCTGGGGCCACTCAGTCTTGGAACCCCCTTCTCAATGCTCCAGCGGCCACATCCAGGCTCATCCCAAGTTGTGTTGAGGCAGTTATGGAGTATGGAGATTTCTGATGTCAGCTGAATAAATGTTTGTTCTTTTGTGTTCTGATGCTCTTCTCTCCTTGCAGTTGTGGAGTTGCATATGCCATACTCTGTAGCAAACTAGCTTCTCATTTGGCTACGAGACTATTCATGGTTCTCATTAAGCCCTTGAGGGGGAGGTGAGTCCACACCTACTCATTGATCAGTCTAGGAATGGTTTTAGCCAGCAGGTTCCTGCTCCCTGTACTCCTATTGTACTTACCAGCATGTCTGTGGGGAGCTTTGTACCCTAACTTCACAGCCTTTAGAGCTTAGACTGGAGAATCAAGAGAGACCGGAACTGGGAGTAAAACACTCAGGCGGGGGCTCCTCCCCTGCTTCTGAAGGTCTGCATTCCCATCAGTTCAGTGCACTTCAGTTGCTCAGTTGTGTCCGACTCTTTGAGACCCCATGGACCACAGCACGCCAGGCCTCCCTGTCCCTCACCAACTCCCGGAGTTTACTCAAACTCGTGTCCTTTGAGTCGGTGATGCCATCCAACCATCTCATCCTCTGTCATCCCCTTCTCCTCTCACCTTCAATCTTTCCCAGCATCAGGGTCTTTTTAAACGAGTCAGCTCTTTGCACCAGGTGGCTAAAATATTGGAGTTTCAGCTTCAACATCAGTTCTTCCAATGAACATTCAGGACTGATTTTCTTTAGGATGGACTGGTTGGATCTCCTTGCAGTCCAAGTGACTCTCAAGAGTCTTCTCCAACACCACAGTTCAAAAGAATCAACTCTTTGGCGCTCAGCTTTCTTTATAGTTCAACTCTCACATCCATACATGACTACTGGAAAAACCATAGCCTTGACTAGACAGACCTTTGTTGGCAAAGTAATGTCTCTGCTTTTTAATATGCTGTCTAGGTTGGTTGTAACTTTTCTTCCAAGGAGTAAGCGTCTTTTTATTTCATGACTGCAGTCACCATTTGCAGTGATTTTGGAGCCCCAAAGAATAAAGTCTGTCACTGTTTCCACTGTTTCTCCATCTATTTGCCACGAAGTGGGACTGGATGCCATGATCTTTGTTTTCTGAATGTTGAGCTTTAAGCCAACCTTTTCACTCTCCTTTTTCACTTTCATCAGGAGGCTCTTCAGTTCTTCACTTTCTGCCATAAGGGTGGTGTCATCTTCATATCTGAGGTTATTGATATTTCTCCCAGCAATCTTGATTCCAGCTTGTGCTTCATCCAGCCCAGTGTTTCTCATGATGTACTCTGCATATAAGTTAAATAAGCATGGTGACAATATATAGCCTTTTCCTATCTGGAACCAGTCTGTTGTTCCATGTCCAATTCTAACTGTTGCTTCCTGACCTGAATACAGATTTCTCAAGAGGAAGGTCAGGTGGTCTGCTATTCCCATCTCTTTCAGAATTTTCCACAGTTTATTGTGATCCACACAGTCAAAGGCTTTGGCATAGTCAATAAAGCAGAAATTAAAGCAGAAATAGATATTTTTCTGGAACTCTCTTGCTTTTTCGATGATCCAGTGGATGTTGGCAATTTAATCTTTGGTTCCTCTGCTTTTTCTTTTCTTTTTTCCTCCACCTTTTCTAAAACCAGCTTGAATATCTGGAAGTTCATGGTTCACATATTGTTGAAGCCTGGCTTGGAGAATTTTGAGCATTACTTTGCTAGTGTGTGAGATGAGTGCAATTGTGCAGTAGTTTAAGCATTCTTTGGCATCACCTTTCTAAGGGACTGGAATGAAAACTGACCTTTTCCAGTCCTGTGGCCACTGCTGAGTTTTCCAAATTTGCTGGCATATTGAGTGCAGCACTTTCACAGCATCACTTCATGGCAAATAGACGGAGAAACAGTGGAAACAGTGACAGACTTTATTTTTGGGGGCTCCACAATCACTGCAGATGGTTACTGCAGCCATGAAATTAAAAGACACTTGCTCCTTGGAAGAAAAGTTATGACCAACCTAGACAGCATATTAAAAAGCAGAGACATTACTTTGCCAACAAAGGTCGGTCTAGTCAAAGCTATGGTTTTTCCAGTAGTCATGTATGGATGTGAGAGTTGGACTATAAAGAAAGCTGAGTGTGGAAGAATTGATGCTTTTGAACTGTGGTGTTAGAGAAGACTCTTGAGGGTCCCTTGGACAGTAAGGATATCCAATCAGTCCATCCTAAAGGAAATCAGTCCTGAATATTCATTGGAAGGACTGATGCTGAAGCTGAAACTCCAATACTTTGGCCACCTGATTCGAAGAACTGACTTATTTGAAAAGACCCTGATGCTGGGAAAGATTGAAGGCGGGAGGAGAAGGGGATGACGGAGGATGAGATGGTTGGATGGTATCACCCACTCAATACACATGAGTTTGAGTAAACTCCGGAGTTGGTGATGGACAGGGAGGCCTGGCGTGCTGCAGTCCATGGGGTCGCAAAGAGTCAGACACGACTGAGCAACTGAACTGATGTAAATCAGTGAAGTTAAAACACAGCCTCACACTGTACACAAAAGTAAAATGGCTTAAAGACCTAATTATAAGACATAACACCATAAAACTCCTACAAGAGAACACAGGCAGAACTCACTCACAGGAAGCTGTGGTACATATACACCATGGACTATTACTCAGCCATTAAAAAGAATTCATTTGAATCAGTTCTAATGAGATGGATGAAACTGGAGCCCATTACACAGAGTGAAGTAAGCCAGAAAGATAAAGACCAATACAGTATACTAACGCATATATATGGAATTTAGAAATATGGTAATGATAACCCTATATGCAAAACAGAAAAAGAGACACAGATGTATAGAACAGACTTTTGGACTCTGTGGGAGAAGGCGAGGGTGGGATGTTTCGAGAGAACAGCATCGAAACATGTATATTATCTAGGGTGAAACAGATCACCAGCCCAGGCTGGATGCATGAGACAAGTGCTCCGGCCTGGTGCACTGGGAAGACCCAGAGGAATCAGGTGGAGAGGGAGATGGGAGCGGGGATCAGGATGGGGAATACATGTAAATCCATGGCTGATTCATGTCAATGTATGACAAAAACCACTACAATATTGTAAAGTAATTAGCCTCCAACTAATAAAAATAAATAGAAAAAAAATGGGAACAATAAAAAAAATAGATGAACAGTAAGGTCCTACTTTATAACACAGGGAACTATATTCAATATCCTTTAATAAACCATGATGGAAAAGACTGTGTATACCTGCATAACTGAATCACTGTTCAGTGTACCAAACGCTAACACAACATTGTAAATCAGCTATACTTCAGCTAAAAGAAAACCTGCTCTAAAATACCTCCTAAATAAAGAATGAACCACCCCATAAATCTAGAGTTCTTATATCCTTTACACAAAAAAATTATACCAATATTTTCTTTGATCATTCTCCCAAGGCAATAAAAATAAAAGCAAAAATAAGCAAATGGGACCTAAGGAAACTTACAAGTTTTTGCACAGCAAAGGAAACCAAAAACAAAATGAAAGACAGCCTACTGACTGGGAGAATATATTTGCAAATGATATGACTGACAAGGGATTAATTTCCAAAATATACAAACAGCTCATTTAACTCAACAGAGAAAACAACCCAGTCGAAAAATGCGCAGAAGACCTACATGGACATTTCTCCAAAGAAGACATACTGATGGCCAACAGGCACAAGAAAAGATGCTGAATGTCAGCATCTTGAATTAGTAGAAAAACACAAATCAAAACTACAGTGAGGTATCACCTCACACCAGTGAGAATGACCATTATAAAAAAAATACATAAATGCTGGAGAGAATGTGGAGAAAAGGGAACCCTCCTACAATGTTGGTGGGAATATAAAGTGATGCAGCCACTATGGAAAACAATATGGAGGGTCCCCAAAAAGCTAAAAATAGAGTTGCCATAATGATTCAGTAGTCCCACTTCTGGTCATATACATGGATGAAGCTATAATTTAAAAAGATAATGCACACCCCTATGTTGATAGCAGCACTATCCACAATAGCCAAGACATGGAAACAATGTAAATGTCCATCAACAGATGAATGGATAAGAAGACATGGTACATACATAGGATGGATTACTACTCAGCCACGAAAAAGAACAAAATAATGCCATTTGCAGCATGATAGATGGACCTCAAGATGATTATATTTAAAGTGAAGTTAAGTCAGAAGAAGACGAATACCAAATGATACCACTTATATGTGGAATCTAAAATATGACACAAATGAACATATCTATGAATCAGAAACAGGCTAACAGACACAGAGAACAGACTTGTGGTTGCCAAGGAGGGGGTGAGGAAGGGATAGATCTGGAGTTTGGGATTAGCAGATGCAAGCAATTATATATAGAATGGCTAAACACTTAGATTTTCTACCAGCTGAGCCACCAGGTAGGCCCAAGAATACTGGAGTGGGTAGCCTATTCCTTCTCCAGCAGTCTTCCCAATGAGGAATAAAGCAGGATCTCCTGCATTGCAGCCGGATTCTTTAAACTGAGCTATCAGGGAATCCACTGTATAGCACAGGAAATATATTTAATGTCCTGTGATAAGCCATATAGTCAAAAATAAAGAAAAAGAACGCATCTATATAATCTCTGTACTCAGTCACTTGAGTCATGACTGACTCTGTGACCCCACAGACTGTAGCTCGCCAGGCTCCTCTGTCCATGGGATTCTTCTCCAGGCAAGAGTATTGGAGTGGGTTGCCATGTCCTCCAGGGGATCTTCCTGACCCAGGGACTGAACCCGTGTTTCTGTGTCTCCTGCATTACAGGTGGATTCTTAACCCACTGAGCCACCTGGGACACCCCGTATAATCTATGTATCTATATAAATAAATAATTTTGCTGTACAGCAGAAAATCATTGTAAATCAACTATACCTCAATAAAATAAAAAGAAGTCACTGAATATTCACGGGTTAACAAAATAAATTCAACTTCTTGTTCCTATATCATCCCAATCAGGTGTTCTTGGTTAGCAGGTGGCTTTTCTCTATGACTCCTCTCAGCCCTGTGGTTCATGCTTATCTACCTCAAAATTCCCTGGAGGGTTTGTTAAACTACAGATAGCTGATTCCACTCCCAGAGTTTTACATCCTGTAGGTTTGGGCAGGTCTTAAGAATGTACATCTCTTAACAAGTTCCCAGGTGCTGCTCCTGCTGCTTTGTGGACCGCACTTTGAGAGCCACTGCTCTGCATCAGCACAGTAGAGAAGTCAATCTTCTCTTTACTGCCTTTGCATAGAAGTAGCACACGTCACTTCTCCTCACCTCCTATTAGTGCAACTCATATTCTGGACCACTGCAGATGCTAGGGTGCAGAATGTGGTTCCCAGAGTTGGGTCCCGCACACTTGACAGAAGCAGCAGGAATCTTGATTGTCATCTCCCAATCCTGGATACACCAAGCAGATCCAAAAACAGCATTCTTCTACAAATCATCCTGTGAAAGCCCAAGGTTTCATATCCGCCACCATTTCTTTCAGTTTCTAGCATCCCACTGGTGGTTTGTGAAAGTCTATGAACGCCTGTCAGGTCTCCCCCAAGATCGCTTGTTCAAGTCTTAGGTCCAGCTTAAATGTTATAAGGACATCTTCCCTGATTCCCTAGCCTTAGTGTTCTTTTCTGGTGCTTTCTACCTCTTTCCAGAGTCTCAAAACAACATAAACTGAGAAACTCTTCAATGCAAGGGAAACAAGGTTGTGATCAGACGCTGGACGACATGTCGCCAACACCAGTCTAGGGAATTGGATGTGCCTTCACTGGCCAGGTTTGGAGGTACAGTCACCAACTTAAAGGCACTTGAGGGTACTTCCATGGTACCGGCCACTGCGGAGGCAACGAGAGGCCGAAGGCTCCGCAGCCATCTTCACGCAGCCCGCAGGAGGCGGGCATACGTGTTGCTGAGTGTTCATGATTCCAGGGGCACCATCGCGCGTTATCGACGTCATCACGTGCTGGACGGGCCGTCACGTGTCTGAAGCTCCGTCATGTGCGTCAAGTGCGGGTGACGTCGTCGCGGCGTACGCGGTTCACGCGTGCCGCAGCTGCCGCCGCTAGAGGCCGCCTCAGGGGTCTTATGGCCGTCTCGTTGTCCTGCCTTAGCGCAGGCCTTGCAGCCTCGAGGCCGTTAGGCCTGAGCCGCAGCTTCCTGCTGCTGCTACTGCTGCTGCTGAACTCGGGTGAGGGCGGCGTCTGTTCCGCGCCGCTCCCGCTCCCGGTCTTCCCCGACGCTGCCCTTCTCCAACCCGCAGCAGAGGCCGGGATGGGCCCTGCGCCGCCCGCCAGCCTGGAGTCCCTTCTCCTCTACTGAGCCTTCGGGCCTCTCTCAGGGCGGTTCCTGTGTTCCAGGGCTCGCAAACTCCCGCCCTCTCTGCGTCTACCCTTAGGCCCGCCAGCCCTGCAGCCTCCTGAGGCCTTGAGGTGCCAGGGGAGTCATCCCTGCGTTGAGGGCTAAGCTCATGGCCTCCACACTTAAACCAGTGTTGCCTACTTCACTTTCTTCTCAGACCCTCTGTTCTTCAGAGGGTGCCTCACTAGCAGTGGTTTCCTTCCCTCAGGAAACGCAGGCCCTCTGGTGCTGTCTCCCTTGACTCCCTCAGCCCCGGGGGCCCCTGCAAACCTGACTGTTACCCTTTCTTTAGAAATCAGAGACAGGCCTCCTGTTCAAGGTCAACCTGCTCACCCCTGCTCTGGACTCTGGGCCCTCCATCTGCTCTCATTGATCTGTATCCTCTCCCTTTCTATTTACTGTGTTTCTTCACCCTGTCTCATCCCCTCACTGCTAGATTTCTCGAAGTAAGTTTTCACTTCATCTTTCCTTCGGTGCTTCCTCACTTCTCACTTAATCTTTAGCCCGTTCCTGGCATGTCTTTGCCCTGTCATCCCTGACCTTTCCACTCCTCCCTCTTTGATTTTTTCTAATCCTTCCGCTTCTCTCAGGCCGTGCCTCCTGATTCTCCTCTACATCAGAGTGACTCCCGTGCCCTTCTGTGTTCCTCCCAGGCCCCCCAGGCCCCCCATGTTCTGTTCATCCCTGACTTATTGGTGTTCCCAGAAGTCTTGTCTGGGTTCCCTCTTCACTGCTCTCTGAGTGAACTCACTTGCCCTGGGTATTGAGCTGCAGCTGCCATTTATGTGATGCTCCTTCAGGAAACAATGTGCCTGGATGCACAGCAACATACTGGGCATCTGTTCTTGAAGGACCTAGAGCCATCACAGCTCCTTGGGTTCCAAAGTTGAGATTCTCTTCCTCCGATAAACTAGGTCCTCTTATTCTGTCCTCTTACTCAGTAGATAGTAGTCATTCTTCTCTAAAATCAGAAATTGGGGAGTTATCCCTAGACTCAGCTATCTTCCTTAGTCCCACATCCAGCTCATCACGTCTTTTGCCACTGCCATTCAGCCCTACTCATTTATAGCCTGGCTTCTGCCGAGTCTTTGGTGGAATCTTACTGCGTTCAATCTTTTCACCTTCCTATCTAATCTGCATACTGCCTTCACAATACAAGCCTGACCAGGTCACACCTCCATTGGTCTCCCTCCTCCTGGAGTCTCACCCAGGCTTCTTGGCCTGACTTATGAAGGCACTTCTGATTGACCCCTGACTTTCTTCCCTGGCGTCGTTTCTTGCCATCACAGGCTTTGTCCTTTATCCTCTAGAGTCTCCAGCTTGCACCATGATGTTTCTTTCATAAAAAATGTCATTGTCACTTTTCATTTCTGTTTTACTCTCTCATCTTTAAGATCTGGCACAATAACCTCTCTTTCCAGAATCCTCTCTAACTCTCTGTCTTCTGGGCTTACCTGACACATGGGGCCTTATCCCCACATTGATCTCACATGAGTGACTGTGTGTTTACTTGTGACTTCTCTGCTGGACGATCTGCTCCTCAAGAGCAAATACAGGATGTGTCTGTCTGATACACCTCTGTCCCCAACCCCCAGCCCCTTGGCCTTGGACTCCAGGGCTGGAAACAGAGTGGGAGATTAGGAAATAATTGGTGAAGGATTGAATGAACTAATGAAAAATGTACTTCTTCATTGTCATCCTGTTAAAATGTCTTATTTCATCTCTGTTCCCCATTTCTCCTCCAGGTTACAAAGGAGACAGCACCAAACCAGGTGGGTAGGGTAAGACCCTGCCTCAAGAAAACCTTGGATCCTGGGAGGGTATATTCTGAAGAGGGTCACAGATATAGTGTTTCTGGGTCTATAGGAAGCAGAAATTCAGTGTAAATGGCCTGCTTTCTAAAGAACAGCCTGTGCCTGCCAGGAAGTACAGACTCAACAGTGCACAATGAAAGGGTATCTGGGCCTCCTATGGGAATACAGAGCCTCTTTAAGTTCAAGTCAGGCTGTATCCCATCAGGGAACATGCCCAGGAAGAAACCTTTTGAGCTCTGAACTGTTCATTTGCAGATGGAGCCTCTTGGGCCTTATGGAAGTGTCTGCAGAGCCTGGCTTTTCTGGGATCTTCCTGTCTTTTTCCTTAGACTTTAAGGGTGGAGGGTTGTGTTGTTCATAGGTTTCCATTGTCACAGGTGCACCCCAATTTATTGTGAACTGTTATTTCTTCTTATATCTTTGCCCCACCCCTATTCCTTCTCTTCACTCTCCTCCCAACCTTTCTTGGATGTTCAATGCATATCTTTGTATTTTGGTATAAATACATATTGTGGTTTTGTGTGCATGTATTTTTAACTTACATAAACAGTATGTGCTCTAGATCTCTTTCTGTTTCCTCCTCTTTTCATTTAGCTGCATTTAAAAAATATTTTCCTTGGAAATAATTTTAAACGTACAAAAGACTTGTTCCTTCTACAAAATAGTACAAGGAACACACACATATACATAATTTTTTTCAGAATCAGTTGAGAGTAGCATACAACTCTTTATCTATGAATACTCTGATGTGTATTTTTTAAGGATATTCTCTTAGGTAATCACAGTACAACCTATGAATTTCAAAAATTTACAATGATACCATATTTTTATCTGTCTATAGTCTAATTGAGTCAGCCCTCTGCATTCCTACCAGCAGTTTGTGAAGGTGTATTATTGTTACAGACCTCCCACCCCTTGGCTTCATCCAGCTTTTGCCTATCTAATAGATTAAAAAACTGACTCTTTAGTTTAATTGATATTTTTCTAATTACTAATGAGCATGTCTCATTGTGCTTTTGGCCTCTTGAATTTCCTCTTCTGATAAATTGATTGTCCTTATTCCTTTGTACATAGTCTATTGTTCTTTTTTCTTGATGATTTCCTAGAGTTCCTTGTATATTCCTAACAAAAGCATCAATTTTAGACATTGCAGATATTACCTACTAATCTGTCATCTGTCTGTTAACCTTGTTCCTGGGGTCAAAAATCCTTGATTTTTATGTAATCATGTTAGTCAGTTTAATGCTTTTATGGGTTGTGGTTTGAGGTTTGTTTAAAGAGTCCTTTTCCATCTGAATGTCACATGTTTGGCTGTTAACTTTACAGTTTTACCTTCAAGGTCTTCAAGTACTACCAGAGAAGAATTGAGTTTTGTTTTTATTTATTTTATAGTGAGCCAGTTTTCCCAGCACCATCTGCTCAACAACCCATCATTTACTCAGATTGTGGTAGCTCCTTTATTTGCATTAAGTTCCTGTATTCTGAAGAACAATTTCAAGTTCTCTGTTCTTTTTTTGGGGTCCACTTGTCTGTCCTTGTCAGTACCACAGTTTTTGTTACTATGGTTTTGATGTGTGCCTTAGTATCTGTTGGGACAAGTATCCCTTCTTTGCTCTACTTTATGGACCTTTCTTTTTCTATTTCAATTTTCAAGTAAGTTTATAAAATTTCTTAAAAATTCAAACTGGGACAGTAACTTTACAGATTAATTTTGGGAAGAATTGCATCTGAAATATTTAGTTATTCTATTTAAAAACAATGGGTCCTCCATTTATGCCAGTCATCTTCAGTGTCCTTTATTAGAGTTTAAAATGTATTACCACAGACATCTTCCTTAGTGTTGAATACTTGAATTCCAGGGTATATTATACTTTTTAGCTAGAAAATGTATCTTATTTTGAATATAGTTGTGCTATATTCAGGTTGGTTGGGGTAGAGAAATATTACTGATTTTACAAATCAGCTATTGAAGTATTATATACATGCACACAAAAAGTGCACAAATTGTGTGCCCAGCTCATGAAATGATCACACAGTGAATGCGTCTGTGCAGTCTCCACCCAGTCAGAAAGTGGAGTGGTACCAGCGCCCAGAAGCTCCCTTCTCTCCTCCCAATCACTTCCTTTGCCCTCCTCCCACAAAGTATCATTACTCCTGGCTTCTGAAAGTATAATTTTTTTTGGTCTGTTCTTTAATGTTGTATGATGTTTCCTGTAGGTTTGTTGCATGTTACTTTTATAAATAAGGATTTTCTTTCTGTTCCTCATTTGCTAAAGTAAGAGTTTGTTTTGTTTTTTAGTCATAAAGCTGTGTTGAATTTTTGAAATGCCTTTTTCTATATCTGTTGAGAAAAGCACATGATTTTTTCCTTAGAGAAAAGAACTGTTTATGTGGAGAATACACCAAGAGTGCTTCCACTGTGGACTGCCCTTGTGCCCTGGGACAATCTCTACACGATCATGGTTCATTATTTTAAAAAATATAATATCAGCTAGTATTTTATTTACAATTTTGCATGTATGTTCACATTCATACAGTCTTACAACTTGATTGTTGAAACTACTTGCAAACTAACAGTGTGTGAGCTGTGAGTGGGAGACCTCTGTTGGCTCCATGCTGGGGCTTTTTCTTGAATCGTCTATGTAAAGATTTCTGACATAGAAGTCTGGAGATTTTCTTGACTCTGAGTAGTATGGGGACAGAGGCCTTTTGCATTTAAGAGATGCAGAAAACCTTTTAGGAACATGGCCTGAGGAGGCCTGAGGACATAAGAAAATACATTTCTTATCTTGGGAATCCTCTGCTTCTCCCTTGTTTTGAAGTTCTGTGCTTTCTGCTCCCTGTGTGTCTCAGTGTCTCTCTCCTCCTCCTGTCGTGTCTCTGTTTTGATGCTTTTTATCTGTTATTGTCATTTTCTGCCCAGCTCAGTGCCTTTGGGTAGGCCGCTGCTCTTCTCTCACCTTTAGTTTCCCCTTCTTTGAAATGGAAGCAAGTCCCTGAGTTTACAGCCTTGTGCAAATTCCCCTGGGGGCATCTTGGTCTTAGTCATCCTTAGCCTCCTCTTTGTGGCCACTGTATCTCCCTGGCACACTTGTTCCTGAAGCTTGTGGCCAACCTTGGTGGCCGAAGAATTGGGACATGTCCCGCCATTGGCCCTGGGAAGTGAGCCTCCGAGTGGAAAATGAGCACGTGTGTGGAGGGGCCCTCATTGACCTCAGCTGGGTGGTGACTGCTGCCCACTGCATCCAAGGGTGAGTATCACTTCTGGAGACCCAAGACTGTAAAGAACCCAGCCTAGACTCCTTGTTTGCTCTGTGAAATAGTGTGGGAGTATAGGAGGTTGGGGGAGTGGGAAGGGATGTCCAGAATAGGAGAGAGTCACTCTCATGATCTCACAGAGGCCAGGGAACTGAGGCAGGGCAGGAACCTGAGCTACAGAGACTATCCTAGCCAGGGCAACAGGCAAACCCAGCATACACCCCACCCCTCACACACATGAGAACCTGCGTGCATGCTAATAACTGCACGCTTAAACACACAACACATAGACCAGGCCACTTGATCAGCTCGACTGATGAATGAGGAGGCGGTCATATCTCTGACCCTGAGGACCCCCAGGCTGGATGGGCAGGATGGAGTGAGCAGGGCAAATCAGGCAGGACTTCTGCTAACGGGAGCATCCTTGGTGAAGGTAGGAGCATAGTGTTGCTTGAGAACCTGACATCCACCAGATGGGGCTCTGTGTCTCCTGTAGCACAAAAGAGTATTCAGTGCTTCTTGGCACCTCCAAGCTGATGCCCCCGAATGCCACAAGAACCATCTTGATCCCTGTGAGGGACATCATTATGCACCCCAAGTACTGGGGCCGGACCTTCATCATGGGCGATGTGGCCCTTCTCCAACTTCATAGTCCTGTCATCATCAGCAAGTATGTGCAGCCCATCTGCCTTCCGGAGCCCAACTACAGCCTGAAGGTTGGGACACAGTGCTGGGTAACTGGCTGGGGCCAGGTTAAACAGCGCTTCTCAGGTAAGGAGGAAGGGGTTGGGGGTGAGGTATGGCACCCCAGAGGGTACACTCCATTCTGTTGGGGTCTTGCCTGCTGAGTCCCTTCATGGTGCCTCTCACGGAGCTGTTACCTCTGACCCCTGGTTCTTTGGATGTGTTAGGATTGCTCCTCACATGAGAAGTGTTGCCATGGTTTACACCGTTGCACTTGCTGTGGGCCCTTCATTTAGACCTAGAAAAGCCAGATCATTTGCTTCTTTCAGAAGCTTAGAGTTAGGGATTCATAAATTCATTCACTTATTCGTTCACCTGACAAATGTCAACGTTCAGGCATCTGCCACGTGCCAGACCCTTGGCACTGAGGATGTATGTCCTGCCTCTTGGGAACTCATGACTGAGTGTGGGCAGGGGCAGACCCACAGGGAAAGAGGCAGAGACTTTGTCAGGTGATCATGAGAGTAAGTCAGGAGGAGTGTGGGATGAGCTCTGGGCAGAAGGTCTGGCCAGAGGTGCAGAGGTGTGCCTGAGGTGCCAGAAGGAGTAGTGTCAATCAGGTGGCAGAGGGCACAGCCAGTACAAAGCTCAGAGGCTGGAGAGAAGCAGCGTGGTGTTGGGGTCTCAATTTTGGAGTAGTTGCACTGAAACTTGTATTGTATCCTACTTGGCTCAAAAGCAAAAGATTCCCAGAGAAGAGGATTTTGGAGTAGAGCTTTAGAGAGTTAGGTGCTTGTCAGACATGGTCCACACCACGGGGGAAGGGCCAAGTGAAGGAGGGCCTGGAGACATGGAGGGCTGTGGTCAAGTCTTGATGCTGGAGGTGACAAGACCCTGGGAAGAGGCAGGGTTGAGTGGAATGAGGAGTCAGTTCTCACCCCACTGGACTCCTCCACAGCCAACTCCACGCTGGCCCCAGAGCTGCAGGAGGCCGAGGTGTTTATCATGGACAACAAGAAGTGTGACCAGATTTACCGCAAGAAGTCCCGCATCCCCCGCATTGTCCCCCTTGTTCTGGGAGATATGATTTGTGCCACCAATTACAGAGAAGACTTGTGCTCTGTGAGTTTCTGGGAGGTTCTGGTGGCTGTCCTTTGGTTGGGATGACTCCAGATGGGGGGCAGTTCCCCATGGAAGGGTTTGCTTGGCCTCCCTCTTTGTCATCATCATCAGGCAGAGCCCTTCTCCCATCTTCCTTCTCCGTGACTTTGATTTTTGCCTGATATTCTGGGATGGGGTCCTCAACTGAGGAGTGAAGGAAGATTCCAGGTAGTGAGATCCTCAAGGATTGAAACAAGCTTCCAAGCACAACTCAGAGGGTGGGCATTCTGGGTCCCCTAGTCCCTTGGGCCCCAGCTGGGCTGGGAGCCTCCATCACTCCTTTCTCTTTGCCTAGGGGGATTCTGGGGGCCCATTGGCTTGTGAAGTCGAGGGCAGATGGATTCTTGCTGGGGTGTTGTCCTGGGAAAAGGCCTGCGCCAAAGTACATAATCCGGGTGTGTATACGCGTATCACCAAATACAGCAGATGGATCAAGAAGCAAATAAGCAATGGGATTCTCTCAGTTCCCTGCACCTCTGCCTGGCTGCTACTCCTGTTCTGGCTGCTGCAGCCCCAGATGGGCCCCTGATCTTCGCTCTCCCTTCTCCGTGCTTTGCCTTTGCTGAACGAGGCCAGACCAAGATTAGATCAAGGTCATGGATCTGTATTCAGCAAGAGTCAAGATGGGGAAAAAGTGGCCCCTGAAACTGAGTCTAGCTTTGGCCTCCTAGTGGGGAGGGAAGTGGTGGATGACTAAGCCTTGAGTGACCAGGAGAAAGGAAGTGTGGCCTAGAAGCGCTCTGGAATTGGGGACCAGGGTAGCAGGGATTAAATTTGTGAAAACATAAACTGACTCTCTTCTCTTTTCTGGGTGGCCCTGGGGATTGGGGATTGGTGGGTGGGCAGGACCTCCTGGAATTAATTCTCAGGAGGCTTCCCAGAGTGGAGACTGTTGGTTTTTGCTAAGCCACTTGTGCTGGGGCTTTGGGAAAAGGCTTGGGCCTGAGGCATCAGTTTTCTCAACTGTAAAGTGGGCATGACGGGAGCAACTGAGACATGCACTGTAGGTGACAGTAGGAAGGATCTGTCGTGCTCCAAAATCAGCTTGCTTTTTTTTTATAACTGGCATATAAAAAATTGATTACAAAAGTCCTGTTCCTATATTTTTTTTAAATTAAAAATAATTAAAAGCAATAACTGATTTTTGGTTGTGATTTACCAAAAAAAATTCAGAAATACACACAAAGATTCCCCCTTGCTCATTGGCCCCCCACCATAATGCTGCTCCCCTCCTCCAAAGTAATCATTGTTAGCATCCTTAAATATATCAATGATTTTTTAAGCAATTAGACACATATATACTATTAATAACCTACATTAAAAAAAAAAACTATATGCCTTGAAAACCTTTCTATGTCAATACCCAGAGCTATTCATACTTTTACATTATTTCATGTGTACCATGTGAATGTGTGTATGTCATTTAACCAGCACCAGGTTTTAGGCAGTTTCTGAACTTGTCTGCATTGCAGAACTGTTGCCATGGATGTATTCCTGCACACTTGGGGATGGAGTGGGGGAGGACACACGCTGCAGTATGTCTGCAACTGTCTTCCTGGGAGTGTACTCAGGGGAGGACCATCAAAGGAAACACAAATGTAGTAATTTTGGAAGAATACTATTTGTATAATTTGCTCCTCCCAAAAGCTGAACAAGTGTTCATTTATACCTATAGTATACAAGAATGAATGTTTCTTCTTTTTTACTAAAAATGGATATTATTAATCTTAAAAAATTTTGCCTATCCAGTGGTAGAAAGTTATATCATTGCTGTTTTAATTTGTATTTCCTTGATTGGAAGAATACCTTTTCATGTGTTTATTGAAAAAAAGGCACATCTTTCCCTTAGTAAAACCTTTGCTCGTATGCCTATTTTAGTAATTAAGTTGTTGATCTTTTTCTCGTGGAAGGTCTTTCTCTTTTGTGAATGTTTTTTTTTGTTGTTGTTGTTCAGTTGCTAAGTCATATCTGACTCTTTGCCACCTCATGGACTGCAGTCTGCCAGGCTTCCCTGTCCTTCACTATCTTCCGGAGCTTGCTCCAACTCATGTCCATTGAGTTGGTGATACGGCCCAGCCATCTCATCCTCTGTCACCCCCTTCTCCTCTTGCCCTCAATCTTTCCCAGCATCAGGGTATTTTCCAGTGAGTCGACTCTGAATATTTAGCTTTTTAAAGAATTATTCATTTATTTATGATTGTGCTGGGCCTTCATTGCTGTGCATAGGCTTTCTCTAGTTTATATGAGCAGGGGCTACTCTTTGTTGTGGTGCACGGCCTTCTCTTGCAATGGTTTCCCTTGGTGAAGGGCATAGGCTCTAGGTGCATGGGCTTCAGTAGTTGTGGTGCTCAGGCAAACTTGCTCTGTGGCATATGGAATCTTCCCAAACCAGGGATTGAACCTGTGTCTCCTGCTTTGGCAGGCGGATTCTTATCCACTGTACCACCAGTAGAGTCCTGAATATTAAGTTTTTGTCAATTACTTTACAAATATTTTCCCCAGTTGTTGCCTCTTATCTTTTAGAAATATGTAGAACAGAAGGGTAATTCTCCTGTAAAGACTTCAAAAATTATTATTGAATGAAGTCAGTCAGTCTTTATTTTCTTTAAGAATTTTGGGGCTTGCTTAACTTGGCCTATTCCACCTCCAGATTATAAAGCTGTATTCACATACTTAATATTTTGATAAATTTGTTTTTTATGTGTAACTAATCCATTTGAAATTTGTTTATGTATAGTGTAAGGTCAACCTCTAACACTATTTACTGTAGAGTCCATCCTTTTCCTGCTGATTTGAATGTCCACATTTATAATAACAAAATTCCAATATATTTGTGGGTAGATTTTTTTGAAATCTCTGTTATTTCCCACTAATCTGTCTGTTCCTGGGCTAATGCTGTACTGTTTCAACCAGCTTCATGTTATGTTTTGTTAAATGGTAGCAAAAGCTATCTTAAAAAAAAAACACAGCTTAATCTACAAAGTTTGCCTTTCTTATGAACTTTATAATCTGTCAGTTTTCATTAAAATTTTTTCTTTAATATTTTTCATTAAGAATATTATTGGTATTTGAATTAAAATTAAATGCACAGAATAATTTTAGGAAGATTGTCATTTTTACAATATTGAGTTCCTAACCAGGAATGTAGTATATGCCTCTATTTATTCAGCTCTTCTATTCATGGATGTCTGGGAAAATACTTAGTTTATTTCTGAGTAGTTTACAAGTTTTGATTATGTTTTTTAGGAGTGGTATCTTTTCCATTACATTTATAAAACTCCATGTATTAGGTATTTTAAAGCTGTCGATGGATTAAAAGCATAATGATACTGATTCCTGGTCATCTTGCAAAACTGTGTATTTAATTCAGTAGTTTTTCAGTGATTCTCTTGGCTTATTTTGGGGTAATCAAATTACCTAAAATGGTCACAGCTACCTCTTGTCCTTTTTGAAATTCACACCATTTACTTCTTTTGCTATCTCCTTGCTGGAGACTCTAGCACAATATGAATTTGTAGCAATAATGGTGGGAGTATATGTGCTGAATTCTTCTTTTATTCATTTCATAGATACCTATTGGGACTTCCCTCTGTGTGAGGCACTGTTTTGGGCCCTGGTGACACAGTTGTGAGCTATTAAGATATTATTTTTATTAAATCTGTTTACATAATGAAATATGTTACTAGATTTCCATTAGATTGCTTAGGTAAATTTATAATATTCTCTGGATTCATTTTTCTACCATTTTGTTTAGAATTTTTGTTCCAGTGTTGGACTGGCCTACAGTTTTCTTTTTTGTTCCACTCTTGGTACCGTTACTATCAGTTCAGTTCAGTTCAGTCGCTCAGTCGTGTCTGACTCTTTGTGACCCCATGAATCACAGCATGCCAGGCCTCCCTGTCCATCACCAACTCCCAGAGTTTACTCAAACTCATGCCCATCGAGTCGGTGATGCCATCCAGCCATCTCATCTTCTGTCATCCCTTTCTCCTCCTGCCCCCAATCCCTCCCAGCATCTGGGTCTTTTCGAGTGAGTCAACTCTTCGCATGAGGTGGCCAAAGTATTGGAGTTTCAGCTTCAGCATCAGTCCTTCCAATGAACACCCAGGACTGATCTCCTCTAGGATGGACTGATTGGATCTCCTTGCAGTCCAAGGGACTCTCAAGAGTCTTCTCCAACACCACAGTTCAAAAGCATCAATTCTTTGGCGCTCTGCTTTCTTTAAAGTCCAACTCTCACATCCATACATGACCACTGGAAAAACCATAGCCTTGACTAGATGGACCTTTGTTGGCAAAGTAATGTCTCTGCTTTTTAATATGCTGTCTAGGTTGGTCATAACTTTCCTTCCAAGGAGTAAGCGTCTTTTAATTTCATGCTTGCAATCATCTGCTGTGATTTTGGAGCCCAGAAAAATAAAGTCAGCCACTGTTTCCACTGTTCCCCATCTATTTGCCATGAAGTGATGGGACCAGATGTCATGATCTTAGTTTTCTGAATGTTGAGCTTTAAGCCACTTTTTCACTCTCCTCTGTCACTTTGATCAAGAGGCTCTTTAGTTCTTCTTCACTTTTTGTCATAAGGGTGGTGTCATCAGCATATCTGAGGTTATTGATATTTCTCCCAGCAATCTTGATTCCAGCTTGTGCTTCCTCCAGCCCAGCATTTCTCATGATGTACTCTGCATATAAGTTAAATAAGCAGGGTGACAATATACAGCCTTGACGTACTCCTTTTCCTATTTGGAACCAGTCTGTTGTTCCATGTCCAGTTCTACCTATTGCTTCCTGGCCTGCATACAGGTTTCTCAAGAGGCAGGTCAGGTGGCCTTGTATGTCCATCTCTTTCAGAATTACTTCATGGCAAATAGATGGGGAAACAGTGGAATCAGTAACAGGCTTTATTTTTTTGGACTCCAAAATCACTGCAGATGGTGACTGCGGCCATGAAATTAAGAGACGCTTGCTCCTTGGAAGAAAAGTTATGACCAACCTAGACAGCATATTAAAAAGCAGAGACATTACTTTGCCAACAAAGGTCCATCTAGTCAAGGCTATGGTTTTTCCAGTGGTCATGTATGGATGTGAGAGTTGGACCGTAAAGAAAGCTGAGTGCAGAAGAATTGATGCTTTTGAACTGTGGTGTTGGAGAAGACTCTTGAGAATCCCTTGGACTGCACAGAGATCCAACCAGTTCATCCTAAAGGAAATCAGTCCTGAATATTCATTGAAAGGACAGATGCTGAAGCTGAAACTCCAATACTTTGGACACCTCATGCGAAGGACTAACTTATTTGAAAAGACCCTGATGCTGGGAAAGATTGAAAGCCAGAGGAGAAGGGCATGACAGAGGATGAGATGGTTGGATGGCATCACCGACTCGATGGGCATGAGTTTGAGTAAACTCTGGGAGTTGGTGATGGACAGGGAGGCCTGGCGCCCTGCAGTCCATGGGGTCACAAAGAGACATGACTGAGTGACTGAACTGAGACCTGAGAGGAGAGAAATACATCCTCTCTCTCTTAATGT